CTTTTATAATTTAAATTATTTTTGCATTATTCTAAAATTACAAGTTTATAAACAGCTTTATTATGGAAATTATTGCTAATTTATGGATAATGTAAAGACAACTGACTGATCCTAAAGTTCTCTAGCGTAGATCTCCCCTCCAGTCTATGGTGTTACGATGTCCCCCCTTAATCTATAGATGGGAGGGATATGCAAGGAACATAGGCTATATCTGGACTTAGGCCTGTGAATGACTTTGACCAAATGTATAACAAAGGTTACATAACATAAGAATGGCCCTACTGGGTCAGACCAAAGGTCCATCTAGCCCAGTATCCTGTCTTCCAACAGTGGCCAGTGCCAGGTGCCCCAGAGGGAATGAACAGAACAGGTAATCATCAAGTGATCCATCCTCTTTCGCTCATTCCCAGCTTCTGTCAAACAGAGGCTAGGGACACCATTCCTGCCAATCCTGGCCAATAGCCATTGATGGACCTATCCTCCATGAACTTATCTAGTTATTTTTTGAACCCTGTTATGGTCTTGGCCTTCACAACATTCTTTGGCAAGGAGTTCCACAGGTTGACTGTGCTTTGTGTGAAGAAACACTTCCTTTTATTTGTTTTAAACCTGCTGCCTATTAATTTCTTTTGGTGACCCCTAGTTCTTGTTTTATAAGAAGTAGTAAACAACACTTCCTTATCTACTTTCTCTACACCAGTCATGATTTTATAGACCTCAATCATATCTCCCCTTAACCATCTCTTTTCCAAGCTGAAAAGTCCCAGTCTTATTAATCTCTCCTTATACGGAAGTCATTCCATACCCCTAATTTTTTGTTGCCCTTTTCTGAACCTTTTCCAGTATTCAAGATGTGGGCATACCGTGGATTTATATAGAGGCAACATGATACTTTCTGTCCTATTATCTATCCCTTTCTTAATTATTCCCAGCATTCTGTTCCCTTTTTTGACTGCCGCTGCACATTGAGTGGATGTTTTTAGAGAACTATCCACAATGACTCCAAGAGCTTTCTTGAGTGGTAACAGCTAATTTAGACCCCTTCATTTCATATGTATAGTTGGGATTATGCTTTCCAATGTGCATTACTTTGCATTTATCAGCATTAAATTTCATCTGCCATTTTGTTGCCCAGTCACCCAGTTTTGAGAAATCCTTTTGTAGCTCTTTGCAGTCTGCCTGGATCTTAACTCTTTAGTAATTTTGTATCATCTGCAAATTTTGCCAGTTCACTGTTTACCCCTTTTTCCAGATCATTTATGAATATGTTGAATAGGACTGGTCCCAGAACAGACCCCTGGGGGACACCATTGTTTACCTCTCTCCATTCTGAAAACTGACCATTTATACCTACTCTTTGTTTCCTGTCTTTTAACCAGTTACCAATCCATGAGACCACCTTCCCTCTTACCCCATGGCAGCTTACTTTTGCATAAGAGCTTTTGGTGAAGGACTTTGTCAAAGGCTTTCTGAAAATCTAAGTACACTATATCCACTGGATCCCCTTGGTCCACATGCTTGTTGATCTCAAAGATCTAGTAGATTGGTGAGGCATGATTTCCCTTTACTAAAACCTGACTCTTGACTCTTCCTCAACAAATTATGTTCATCTATATGTCTGACAATATTGTTCTTTATTATAGTTTCAACCAGTTTGCCCAGTGCTGAAGTCAGGCTTACAGACCTGTAATTGCCGGGATCACCTCTGGAGCCCTTTTTAAAAATTGGCGTCACATTAGCTATCCTCCAGTCATCTGGTACAGAAGCTGATTTAAATGATAGGTTACAGACTACAGTTAGTAGTTCTGCAATTTCACATTTGAGTTGCTTCAGAACTCTTGGGTGAATACCGTCTGCTCCTGATGACTTATTGCTGTTTAATTTATCAATTTGTTCCAAAACCACCTCTAATGATACCTCAATCTGGGACAGTTCCTCAGATCTGTCACCTAAAAAGAATGGCTCAGGTTTGGAAATCTCCCTCACCTCCTCAACCGTGAAGACCGATGCAAAGAATTCATTTAGTTTCTCCACAATGGCCTTATCGTCCTTGAGTGCACCTTTAGCACCTCGATCATCCAGCGGCCCCACTGGTTGTGTAGCAGGCTTCCTGCTTCTGATGTACTTACAAAAAAAAATTGCTATTACTTTTTGAGTCTTTGGCTAACTGTTCGTCAAATTCTTTTTTGGACTTCCTAATTGTATTTTTACACTTCATTTGCCTGTGTTTATGCTCCTTTCTATTTTCCTCACTAGGATTTAACTTCCACTTTTTAAAGGTTAGCATTGCTAAGAGATGCTTAAAGCAGTTTTTTTTTGTACATAGGCAAAGAGTTATTAGGATAAAGGCTATATAGTTGTCCTAGTCACTACCCCACTTCTTAAACTATTTCCCCAGTGTCAGCATTAACTCACTGGCATGAGAATGTGTGGAAATGAGTGAATGCATACCCTTGAATAAGTTGTGAATTATATTTTAAACAATCAAGACATTTGAATCTGGGGCCTAAAGTGAAAGCTTGCCTAACAGTTTCTTATCCCATGACAACTTCTTGGGTGCTGATTTCAAGAGACCTCTATTTGCAGTTAGTAATGATTTGGGTTACAATCTGTACATCCTGCCTGGAAATCTTCGATGTAACCCCAAAACAGAGGTGTCAAATCATTAGTCCCTGATGATCTATAACATCCTGGAACTGCTAATTGAACAAGAGTATTCATTAGGGCAGAGTAGAGGAATCATTGATCCCTAGAAAAGATGCTTACCATTTGGAAAAGGAGGGGGCGGGGGGGCTTTCTCTCACACCAACAAGATACCTGAGCTATGTCCTGCTCTATTCCCTGGACTGGCCACCCAGGGAGGAGAAGTAAAGAGTACTGAAACAACTAAGCCAAGTCTGAGGTGTAACCAAGAGAGGTAAAGATCACAGTTATTCTTTATATAGGGAGGGAAATATATTAGATAAACCAAGGTTAATATAATCCTTGTGAATAGCAAAGTTTAATGGGAGACAGGTAGCCTACCAAGGAGGCTACAAGGAAATTATTTTGAGTTGTACTTCTTTAGAATCAAGACAAAATAACAGCTGTTACTTTCAGCAGACTTTGAGTCATTTAATCAAGTTAAAGTAAAGGGATTCTCCCGTCAACCTTTTTGTAAAACCTTAAGGAGGACTGTTTTTCTTTAACTTAGTATTATTTCATTACTAATTGGCGAGCCAGATAAGTCAAACCAGTGACTTATAGATTGTATTCCAACTGTAATATCAGTTTGACCATTGTAATGTATTTCTTGTAAATTGTCAGGAGAACCAACTTCACCTAGCTAATGGCATATTTCGCTTAAAGTAATATTTGTTCTATAACTTTCTGCTTAATCTTTTAATGTATAAAAGACACTCTGAAATGATTTATTTCCTAAATCTTCAGCATTAAACAACTATGAAGGAGAAAAAAGTAAAATCCTTAAGTCATGTCTGAGCTCATTCTGTATTTCAGTAACTTAAAGTACAGCCCTCTTACTTCTATACAGTTCATTCATGAATCACTTAAAATGATTTTCTGGGTGATCTGAGATTCAGGAATAATATGGTTGAGTATTGGGTTTAATTTAGGATGCAGAAAGTTTATATTATTGAGTAAGAATTCCTTTGCATGCTTTTTTCTTTATATTATCTATAAATGTTTTTCTTCAGTGCAGTTTATGCTCTCTGTAAATGGTTGTCTACAGTTGCATTTGTGTTAATAACACTGTGCTTTTTGTGCATGTCTAGCTTAGGTTTGGGGAGGGAGGGGTATGTTAGAATTAAGAATGAAATTGACTCTTAAATTTCTTAAGCCTGTGTCTGCAGTTAATAGTTTAAGGAACAGTAAAATGTATAGGAAGGAAAATAGCCTAACACGATTCTCCATCTCAATCCTTCCCATACCAGCAGATGTCGCCTAGGGTACAAGTAAGGGTCTGCTGTCCTTGTGTATCCTGGGCAACTGTTTGCATCTCCTCTATGTTATGAAGTCCCTTAAGTTTTTTCCTCACTGAGTATTTTTCAATAAAGAGATTCTAACATGATCTGCTTCAACACATGCCACTTTAACTATGTAAAAGATTTGGAAAACATCCTTTATACCTGAGTGTCCTAAATAAAAGAAATACTTATTCATTATGTTGTACTTTTTTCTTTATAGTCAACTTGTGTTTTTTTTTTAAAATACATTTCTCCCCTGCCTCTCAATACCCCATCTTATGTTTTTACCTGTTCTCTCTCTCTCTCTCTTGTCTCTCAGTATCCCGGAGTTCCCTTTGAAACTTTGTCTGCTCAGCGCCATTTGGTTCCCTCCACTCTCTCCCTCTTCTGGTAGTCTTCCCCATTTGCTACTCTAGGTCCTGCTTTTTTCTTTTTCTTTCCCCCCCACCCCCCGAGCCCTTTATCTTTCCTTACTAGTTTAAAGCTTTCCTCGTTCGCCCTCCTGTCCTGGTACTCTGAAGACTGGCCTCCCGCCTGTTCATATAAAGTCTGTTCAATCCATGCCACCACCTCTCCAACAGAAGGAAAATGAATGTTCTGTAAATCTGAATCTTTTCACTCTTCATCTACCAGTTTATTTGCATGATCCTGTTGCTTACTGCTTCATTCATTTTTGGTATTGACAGAATCTATAAGAAGGCACAGTTATTGTCATCTGCTTCAGTTCTCAGCTAGGGAGTATTAGCCAATCTGAACATAAATCTTAGGTTTTTTTCCCCATGATGTGCAGCCCGTGGGTCTTTTCTCCCTCTCCTATGAAATCAAGTGACTCCATTTATGTCTCTGATCATAAAGTAATTCATGTTAAATTGAAGATCCGGAAGTGTAAAGCAAAGGACTCATTCCACAGCTCCTCCTAATCTCTTTCTAAATCTGTAATACTATTAATGAGATGTTTGTCCATTCAGTGTGTCATAGCTTGAAATCATGGACAGTCATAAAGTAATAATTACCACTCATTTCTCTTTTTTACAGTTTCCAAATAAAACAGTTGCACATGTTGCCTGCAATATGCTTAACATGCTGATTCATTATGTATATAGGCTTCAAATATACCAAGCTGATTCACCTTTAAAAATTATTCAGGTAAGTAATTACAAAATATTTTAAACAATTTGCAGTTTTCTAGGGATTTTAGGAAACCATATAATTGAAATTGAAGTAACTAACTTAAAATTGTGATGTGACTGTTTTTATAGATGTTAAGTATAAAGTGTGCTTTTAGTCAAATTAAGTTTGCCGCCTGCATGGATGTACTAGGTAGGTGGAGGAAGGCCTCTGTAGCCTCTATTGCCTCCTTGCACACCTGCATGAGGCAGATATAACTTAGTCCCTAGAGTTCATTAGATAGTGTCTTTTTGAAGTTCAATAAAAATTGTTTTACAAACAACAATCTAACTGGATGCTACAGTTTGTCGTAATTTTAGGAGAATTTAGCCGTAGGTATGGTATTGTATCACATTTGCCTGATGACATATTTAAGTTTAAAAGAACTGTAACTTTTAAAGAAAACTATTTATTTATTGTCCACAGATCCTGATAGCAACTATTACGCATCTTCTACCCAATACAGAAGCTTCTTCTTATGAACAGGACAAAAGGGTAATTAGACATTAATCATGCTTTTTTTTTATATGCTACTGTTATATAACTATGGAACTGCCAGTCATGGCTCTATGATTATGGTTGACTTTTGCCTTAAGGCTGGGATTCAGACTCTTTGTATGTAAAATATAGTATATTCTCCCCGAAATTACAGCATTTATTCTTTGAGAATAGAATGAGTTTTCTCAGAATTTACAAGTACAGTAACTCCTCACTTAAAGTCATCCCGATTTAACGTTGTTTCGTTGTTACATTGCTGACCAGTTAGGGATCGTGATCGTTTAAAGTTGCGCAATGCTCCCTTATAACATTGTTTGGCAGCTGCCTGCTTTGTCCACAGAAAGAGCAGCCCGTTGGAGCTAGCTGATGGGAGCTTGGAACCAGGGTGGACCAGCAGCCCCGCTATCAGCTCCCCACTCCCCTAAGTTCCCTGCCCAGCAGGCTATCAATTGCCGGCAGTTCAGCTGTCCCTCCCCCCACTGCCATGTGCTGCTCCTGCCCTCTGCCTTGGAGCTGCTCCCGGGAGCCTCCTGCTTGCTGTGGGGGGGGGGGGGAGGATGGGGGGCTAATGTCAGGGTGTCCCCCTCCCCCCTGCTTCTGCCCCCCCCGCTTACCCCATCTCCATAGAGCAGTGGGGGGACAAGACAAGGCTCGGGATGGAGCAGCTGGCAGCAGCTGCTATCTCAACTTGCTGATCTACTTAAAAAGGCAATGTACTTAGAGCGGGCTCAGCATACATAAAGGGGCAATGCGCCTCTCTCTCTCTCTCTCTCTCACACACACACGGTGTGTGTGTGTGTGTCTGTCTGCCATGCTTTCTCCCCTCCCTCCATTTGTGCTGCCTTGTAGAGTGTGAGGCTACATTAACAACAATGTGTTAACCCTTGAGGGCTCAGCTGTTCCAGTTCATCATTTAGCAGTAAGGCCTCCCTGGGAAATATCCCACCGTCTTCCACCCTGACTTCACCACCTCAACCAACCTTCACAATTATCATTGCTGTGTATAGTATTAAATTGTTTGTTTAAAACTTATAGTGTGTGTGTGTGTGTGTGTGTGTGTGTGTGTGTGTGTGTGTATGTGTATGTGTGTGTGTGTGTGTATATATGTGTGTGTATGTATATATAAATAAAAAAAATAGTCTTCTGTCTGGTGGAAAAAAAATTCCCTGGAACCTAAAAGCCCTCCCCCCCCCCCCCCCCCCCCCCCCCCATTTACATTAAATCTTATGGGGAAATTGGATTAGCTTAACATCATTTTGCTTAAAGATGCATTTTTCAGGAACATAACTACAACGTTAAGCGAGGAGTTACTGTAAAGCTATTAGCGTTAAAATTAATTTTAAAACTGCTCCATTAATAAACTTAGCACCCTATGTCAGACCTTTTCTTCTTGTCCCTAAAGATCCTAATACCAGAGTATTGCAGACTTTTCAAACTTCCTATATAATTAGTGAATTGAAATCTTGTGCATAGACTACATTTGAAGACCACTTTAGGATTAATTATCATTTTGTATTGTTACCAGGAATAATTTAAAGTGCATTGTTTAGAAGGAGTAGCACATAATTCTTCATTAATTCTCTGAAGATTGCCTTCTTTCAAAATGATTGTCATCTCCTCTTGTTCTGAGTGGGCCTGCGGCCATAGAGGCCTGAGGCCCTTAACAAAAATGACCTCTGCTTTCATTCAGCTGCTCCTCAGTGCTCCTTTCTGCCTCCTGATAATAGTGGATTACCATCCCCTAAGGGCAGTTTGGCTCCACTTCTATTGGGAACAATGAAAGGCAATGGCCATTTTTGAAAAGGGCATCTCAACTCAGGGCAGTAAGTGGCTGATTGTGGCTCTCTTGTTCTTGGTCACCCCGCCCTGGTGGAAAGCAGAGCAGTAGGGGACCTACTTTAACTTCTGCCACTGTCATAAGCTCCATCAGGCCTCTCAGCAGTGGAAGATCATAGAGTTGCTCTGCTCCACCACACCTACTCCTTCCTCTTCTCACATTTCACACCCATGGCGATCAGGGGAGGTCCCGGATGACTGGAAAAAGGCTAATGTAGTGCCCATCTTTAAAAAAGGGAAGGAGGAGGATCCAGGGAGCTACAGGCCAGTCAGCCTCACCTCAATTCCTGGAAAAATCATGGAGCAGGTCCTCAAGGAATCAATTCTGAAGCACTTAGAGGAGAGGAAAGTGATCAGGAACAGTCAGCATGGATTCAGCAAGGGCAAATCATGCCTGACTAACCTAATTGCCTTCTATGAGGAGATAACTGGGTCTGTGAATAAGGGGAAAGCAGTGGATGTGTTATTCCTTGACTTTAGCAAAGCTTTTGATACTGTCTCCCACAGTATTCTTGCCAGCAAGTTAAAGAAGTATGGGCTGGATCAATGGACTATAAGGTGGATAGAAAGCTGGCTAGATCGTCAGGCTCAACGGGTAGTGATCAATGGCTCCATGTCTAGTTGGCAGCCGGTTTCAAGCGGAGTGCCCCAAGGGTCGGTCCTGGGGCCGGTTTTGTTCAATATCTTCATTAATGATCTGGAGGATGGCATGGACTGCACTCTCAGCAAGTTTGCAGATGACACTAAACTGGGAGGAGTGGTAGATACGCTGGAGGGTAGGGATGGGATACAGAGGGACCTAGACAATTTAGAGGATTGGGCCAAAAGAAACCTGATGAGGTTCAACAAGGACAAGTGCAGAGTTCTGCACTTAGGACGGAAGAATCCCATTCACTGTTACAGACTAGGGACCGAATAGCTAGGAAGCAATTCTGCAGAAAAGGACCTAGGGATTACAGTGGACGAGAAGCTGGATATGAGTCAACAGTGTGCCCTTGTTGCCAAGAAGGCTAACGGCGTTTTGGACTGTATCAGTAGGGGCATTGCCAGCAGATCGAGGGACGTGATCGTTCCCCTCTATTTGACATTGGTGAGGCCTCATCTGGAGTACTGTGTCCAGTTTTGGGCCCCACACTACAAGAAGGATGTGGAAAAATTAGAAAGAGGCCAGCGGAGGGCAACAAAAATGATTAGGGGGCTGGAGCACATGACTTATGAGAGGCTGAGGGAACTGGGATTGTTTAGTCTGCAGAAGAGAAGAATGAGGGGGGATTTGATAGCTGCTTTCAACTACCTGAAAGGGGGTTCCAAAGAAGATGGATCTAGACTGTTCTCAGTGGTACCAGATGACAGAACAAGGAGTAATGGTCTCAAGTTGCAGTGGGGGAGGTTTAGGTTGGATATTAGGAAAAACTTTTTCACTAGGCGGGTGGTGAAGCACTGGAATGGGTTACCTAGGGAGGTGGTGGAATCTCCTTCCTTAGAGGTTTTTAAGGTCAGGCTTGACAAAGCCTTGGCTGGGATGATTTAGTTGGGGATTGGTCCTGCTTTGAGCAGGGGGTTGGACTAGATGACCTCCTGAGGTCCCTTCCAACCCTGATATTCTATGATTCTATGAAAACACACATGAGATGCCATCTCCCTCCCCTTATGCTAATAATAGCATCCTTATGCTGGGGCTTCGCAGCAGCTGGCGTAGGGCACAGCAGAGCTCCACCTCCACCAAGTTTACACTGGCAGGTGGTTCCTCTATTTAAGGAGATTTCTTCTCAAGTTATGTTCTGTCATCTAAATCTGGGACTATAAATACTAAAATCCCTTAATCATCATGTGTTTATTGCATGATGTCACTATCGGGCAAAGTTGAGATTATTGCTGTGAAATGGGTATTATGCTTATATGTTTTATAATAAAATATAGTTTCAGAAATCACATTAGGGGTTTTCTTTATTGTCACATTGATAAATATATTTATTAACATATTTAAAGTATTTTGAAGAATTTTGTTGCTGTTTATTTGAACTCAGTTGTTTTATTTATTTCACTGTGGCCACTTGCTTAGGTTTTTAAACTATAAATAAGTTTAATTGTGTTTTTAGATAGTGTTTGACATGAGTTTACCATTATTATTGAACTAGTAGTCTGATCTGTGTTTGAAACCTTGGCGTGTTTGTTGTGTAATGGACAATGTAAAAATAGCTACTAGAGGAAGATGGGTGTATTATAGAGTGAAATAGTTGTTGACATAGGAAAGCATTTGGATATCCTTCAATGAATATATGGTGCTGTATAGTTATAGTAGCAGATTATGAAGGAAGAATAACAATATTTATAAAGTAGTAAAGGCAATTCAGATAGTTTACTCTTGCATGATCGTTTATTCTCTTTACAATGAGGCTCAAGTGCGACCATTCCACCACCCCACTTACATGTTGTTGATCTATTATTTTAAAAGAATTTGTTTTTAAATGAACTTTGCAAAATCATGGAAATTTATCAGCGCAGGCACAGCTATTCATCCGCCTATCACGATGATGATGATGATGATAATGAAAAGCTGTTCATATTGATAGTCCTTGGACAGAATATAAATTGGGGTCTCAGCAGCTAGAGCTTTCACCTACAATATGAAGTTTAGGCATGCAGTAGCTTCTAAGTAACTTTAATGTGGCGGTATTGTCTAAGGTTGATTACCTGTATGGTTAAATTAGGAAGAGAAACTAAAGCAGGAAAACAAAATACAGTAGGAAATGTAAAGCAGCAGGCTGCTATTTTAAGTGAATTGTAACTAAAAATACTGTTGTTACAGTTGGTGGTTTCTTTACTTCTCTGTTTATTGGACTGGATAATGGCCTTGCCTTTAAAGACCTTACTGCAACCTCTTCACACCACAGGAGCTGAAAATAAGACCGAACAATCTGTTCTTAATTGTGTATATAAGGTACTTGTGCTTTACATTGTTTTGTTTTGTTTTTAATGAAAACTTGTAAAGCTGGAGGTGATGTCAGTTATGGGGAATGAAGACAGAACCTTTCTGTTCTGTTTGACTCAAATTCTGTGACTGTACTATAGGCTTCTTCTGCCTGTAAACTTATGCATTTTACCCAGAACTACTTAGTCTTGGGATGTATCCTAAGCAGTTAGTTTTGCCTCATTTTGTGATGGTTTGATCTAAAGAAGTTTAATCATTCATATAGTGCTATAAATAATGTTGGTCCAAGAGAAGGTTAGTGCCAAACAAATAATAGAACACTACCCTAAAGAGTTTACAGTTCAGGGGCAGTGGTGAAGGTCAACCCTACAAACAAGACAATGTATGTAGATTGGAATGTAACCCTTACAGATTGAATTATTTTAACCTTTAATTTGCTTAGTGCAAACATATGGTCAGTGCCATTAAGTGCAAAACAAAGACAGACTTTACCCCTCAAAAATCTTACATTTGAAATGTAGATACATAGAGAATAGGAAATCTAGAGGTAGAGGTTACTTATAATAAACCACTAAGTTATATATTTACTGTATTTTTATTACATATCCCTTTTACACATGCTGCTGTTTTTACTAATCCTCCTTTAATATATCACTTGCAGACAGGAGGTCAGATCCATGAACATACAATGTTTAAAACTATCCCACGTTTTGTTTTACCCTGTTTAGTGGGTTTCATTGTTTGGTGGTAGGTTTTCTGTTTTTAACAAATTTAATCAGAAAATGAAGTAAAGTTAGTAATCTGTTTTGAAATCCTGGTCTTGTTCTAGGTTCTGCATGGATGTGTCTATGGAGCTCAGTGTTTCAGCAACCCAAACTATTTCCCTTTAAGCCTTTCTGATCTGGCATCTGTGGATTATGATCCTTTTATGCATTTAGAAAGCCTGAAAGAACCAGAACCACTACATTCCCCTGACTCAGAGCGATCTTCTAAGCTCCAGCCAGTCACAGAAGGTATGTCAAATTGTCTGGATGAACTCTTATTTAAAAGAGAATAGACAGGCTCTTGGTTTCCAATACTGAAGTGTGTATCTACATAATGAATTTTAAATTATATTTAATGTCATTTTAGACAATACATAGTGTTCATCAATATAGAATGAAACAGTGTAATTTTGAACAATTACAACTCAGATAACTAAAATAAATAGATCTTTTACAACGTAGAAATCAATCTTTTATGGATCCTTCTGCTCATGTGTATAAAAAGTGCAAAATATTGCAATGTGATGTGTAAATGTTTTACTTTCATTTTGTTTTAGGTAAATGAGTGCACTTAAGTCTTAATTTTGCTCTTTTTTTATAATTTTGTTTTTTATGATCTTCCAAATGTAATTTTATAATATCACTAAACTGACATGACAGAATTTGAAAGACTGTTGAAAGTTTTCTATATTTAAAAATGGATTATTGAAACCTATCATAATTCATTCTATGCCTATTTTACACATTTGTAAAAAAAAAAATGAAGTTAATTACTAGAATACAATTTTATGTCCTCTACTTCAAACCTCATCAGAGTCAGGAATTAAGAACACTTTCTTCTGAAATAAAGACAGCAGACACGAGAAACTAAGATTTAAAGTAGTGACACATTTCTTGTAAAATGTATCTATCAAGTGGCCTCAATGGAAAGAAAATTGAAAAAGATGAGTTTAATATTGATACCAAATACTCTATGTAGTGCTATTCTCCCTCCATATTAAGTTGTTCCCTTTAGGCTTCCTTAAAGGTATTAAGAGCCAGATAAATGCAGAACCTTTTTGTAGCAGCTGTGTGCTAACAGCAGGTGATTTTGTGGTCTGTAGTGACTACGTGCTGTTTTTTTATGTGGGGAAAATGGCTAATCATTGTGCCCTTGTCTAAGGCATGCTTCATCATCCTCAAGTACTTTTTTGGCCAAAGAATTCTAAACATAGAGCTGTCCCCTAATAAGCTCAGTATTGGATTGAACAAGTCTGATTTGAGAACTATTGGCAGGAGGAACTGTAATTATTAAATTTACTGAAGAATGAAGCAAGGTACTGTATTTGGCTTTTTGTCAAATGGCAGTGGTCTTATTAGCGAAAAGTAATCATCTGCAGGGTCAGAATGAAAGCAGCTTTGAAGGATTCATTCTGTCCTAATTACAGTTTCACCTATACGTATTATGTAAAGCTAATATTTAAAGCATTTGCCAGAATTAACTTCCACTGCATGTTCTATTACAGTGTAGTGAATTGCAGCAGCTTTTTATACCTTGCATCTTTTGTATGCTATAATAATCTGTAATTATGGGTTTGCAGCAAACGCTGTGTGGCTTGTTTAATCTGACAATCTGAAAAGACAACCCTGAATAGATTTTTTTTAAATGAATGCCAGTTGCACAAAGCCTTAGCATCGATTTCTTCATTTTGCATTTCCTCACATGATTGGTTCTTTTATGATTTCTTGTTAAATTTCTAAATAAAGGTAATTCCACGTGTTCCTTATGTCTCCTTAGATGAGATATGGTAACCTTATATGTTTTTTTTTTAAAGTTTCAAGGCTTTGTAAATCTGAGTAGGCTAGATTACCAAATGTAATTGACAAACCATAACATAGATTTAATTGCCGCCCTGGCACTTCTTGCCTGTGCCATAACCCAGGGAACAGTACCAAGCACTGTTTTACCCATCCCACAGCATATTCTCTTGCTTGCATTGTGGTAGGTGTGATAGAAGCAAAGTTGATGGATTAGAGTAGTCACAAGCCAGATCAAATCGGGGGCCAAGTAGTGCATCTCAGCAGCAAAGGAGCATGCTGATTGGCTGCATTTGGAGCAGAAGCACACTATTTGAACTACCATGAAGCCAAACCACACAGCACTCCTCTCACTAGACATAGGCTTAGCAGTGCACAGGTACTTTCATACAAACCCGTTGGGGGCATAGATAGGTAGAAGGGGCAGGCGTATTAGTGGGGAAAATGTACAAGGACAAGGAGAGAGTGTGCCAAACTGTACTTAGGACGAAAGCTCATTCATGAGTCTGGGATTAGGGAGGTATATAGAATTTGCTAATCTGTGTCCATGTCCTCCCTTCCATGTGTTTGTGGCAGAGTGATAGTATAGCTGACTTTTACAAGGAACAGTTCTGAAATTAAATGAAAATCTATATTAGAGTTTTGTTTAAATACCACTGAAATTACAAGATACAAATCTATATAAAAAAAATAGTAGGAAGGCTTTTCCTGTATTAGCAAAGCTTGCAATGTTAAATACATTTCTTTATTTTCCCAGGGTCAAGTGTTCGTAGAACTCTAAATGTTAAAAATGGAAAAATATCTGTTAGTTTACCTAGTCCTGATCTTTCAACTGTTGTTGCAGGATTGTTTCCTGTAACAAGTGTGTGAAAGCAATATGTATTTATGCTGAGACAAAAAAAAATCCCGTACTAAATATTACATAGCTATTGCAGTGTCGCTAGCTGGCAAAATCAGACAATTGTATAAAACCTTTAAAGGGGGAACTTCTTCCACAGCTGCAGGTAAAATCATTTTCTCTTACAAAATTGCATCCACAGATCCCCACTTTTGGGACCTGTGTACTGTGTCCCTTGGACCTCAGACCTTCTTACAGGCTGGTGCTTGGGACATGAGGCTGAGAGCCACTGTACTCCAGGGTCAAAATTATTAAAAGGTGTTCAGCTGTTACACTGTTCTGGATTTTTTTTTTATTTTCTTCTTCATATTCCTCTCAACAAATATTCAACCTGCTGTAGATAACTTTACATGTAGATTTTAGGTTCTAAAATTAACAGGTTTCCTCAACTTTTTGTTCAGTTCTTAGTTTTATTTAAAATAATAAAATAATAGAACTTGTTCCCCTTAAAGTCTTGCCACCATCTGCTAGTATAGTTGAAGGTGACACGTGTATCTTTTCTGGGGGTGGGAGGAAAGAAAGCACTTAATTCACTTCTAACAGGATGCAGTTAGACCAGAACAACTTGTGCTTAGCATGCCTAGGGAAAGGATATTTCTTTAGACTGTGTACAGCTAGCTTGTGTCTTTATCTGCCCCGGAGGTTCAAAGGGAGTAGGAGAGACACTTGGTCATTATTTTCCCACTCAGCTGCACCACTGCAATAGTGATAAGCCCACACGGCCACCTGCTGATCCAAGCATCATAAAGAGGACAAGGAATCCTCCATTCCATGCATTGTCTCAGATTCTGCAGCCCCTGTTAGATCATTGGTGAAAGACCATCAGCCTTCCCATAAAAGAAGGAATCTCAGAGTCTGGAAAAAATAGCCAGTGTAATCTTCTCCTGACAAACTACCAAACAAAAAGGTGTTCCCTTGACATGACATACCCTTAATGTGGCATTTTAGGTTGACACTGTAACTCAGACAATAGTAGTTGTGATAATGCTCTGGAGATTCTCATGGTTACATACTTTGGTCCATTCATGAAAGAGAGGGCAAGATACTGGATTTGTGCTTTAAGGTTCCTAGTTTATTTAACGGTAGACTGATGCTAAACAAGGAGACTGAAGAAAACAATATCAGGGCATCCAACCACTTTACTGTTCTTGGGGTCATTCACAATATTCAGGAGAGCATCAACAGTCATCCTTTCAGCTTCAGTGGAGGACAGGTTTCTTTAATAACAACATTACTATCTTAAATGTAAGTATTATTAATTTCATTCAGTGATCTCAAAATAATTTAGTCTCTGCTACTTCTTCTAAGAAGGGATCCTAGAGAGAACCAATCAGAACTTCTGTGTGGGTCTCCTTTATAAAGACTGTTGGGGATAATAGATTTAGTTTTCCCCAGCATAACATAGTATCACTTCATACGTCTCATTCCTTGATATAATAGAGAAGGGCTATAGCCTGACATTATTATTTTTCAATTATTTAATATTTATATTTAAGTTTTTTTCTATGGTACTTCTCTCAGCATCTCACCAACATTAATGAATTTATCCTTACAGAAACCTTGCGAGGTTGGGAAATATTCCCATTTTACAGATGAGGCACAGAGAGATTTATGGCTCAGTCCAGCTCCCTTTTGAAATGAAGGGCATGACTCAAACAGGAAGTCTGTAGGAGAGCTGGGACTAGAACTTCTAAATCCCAGTCCAGTGCTTTACCCACTACACCACCTTTTCTCTTCACAAGACCATTGTGCTGCATCCTCCTCCATATTGCTTTAAGGGGCCTTTTCTTGTGAGTTTGAGGTAGGAAATTGCCTCCCTTCTGGAAATGGGAGCAATAGAACACATACAGTTCATTCATATTAGCAAGAGGTGTTTACTTTCAGTATTTTCTCATTCTAAAGAAGTCCGGAGTCCTTTCTGCACTAGTAAACTACATGAAAAGATTCAACAGGTTTTTCATGAGGATCAGATTTTGGGTGGTGACTATAGAAATGAAAGCTGTGTCCCATCTACAATGCAGTTAATCCCTCCTGTACTACTTCCCTTTTCTGGGCACATGAAATTGGCTTGCCAGATCTGATATTCCTAGTTCTTGATTTGGCACGTCCTCTGTTCCTGCGAATCATGTCCAGTCTTTTCTACCAGAAAGAATGGTGAGTGTTAAATTTGGATTTTGTCTTCACTATTTTTATCAAATTCTCCCACAGTTGCTGTAGAACTGGTGCAATTCCACTGGTATTAACAACAGTGAGAGCGGCAGTGTAAACCACAAAGGCAGATCTGGGGGCTCATCAGTTGGAAACAAGAGAGGAGAAAGACTTGGGGGTATTAGTAGATCACAGTCAAGAGCCACCAATCTTATTTGGCCGTGAAAAATTCCAGTCACGCATGTTCAAGAAAGTGAATTCAACCTGGAACATGTGTAGAAAAGGGCTACTAGGATGATATGGGGAATGAAGAAAGCTTATCTTACAAGAGGAGACTAAAAGAACTTGGCTTGCTTAGCCTAGCAAAACAAAAGTTGAAAGGGGATATGACTGCTCAATTTAAAGACATTAGGGGTGTAAACACCAAGGAGGGAAAAGCGCTATTTAAGCAAAAGGAAAATGTTGGCACAAGAACAAATAGGTATAAACTGGACATAAATAAATTTAGGCTGGAAATTAGAAGTAGGAACCATCAGAAGAGTTTTAAGATGGAGCTTCAGAAGTTTATGATGGAATTACATGATGAAGTTGCGTGTGATAGCAAAGGACTAGACTTGATGACTCAGGAGGTCCTTTCTGGTCATATGTCCAATGTTCCTATGTAGATCAATGAAGTGGGCAGACTGAAGGAAAGAAAAACGGAGTAGAATTGTCTAAGTCAAGGGAAAGAGAAACTGAATGTAAGGGAGAGAAGGAACAGGAGTGTATTCATTAAGGTGGTTTCTCATCTCTCAGTTTATATAATTTGGTGCTTATGTTCTAAAAGGATTAATCACTTATCAGAGCAACAGAGTGTCCTGTGGCACCTTCTAGACTAACAGACGTATTGGAGCATAAGCTTTCGTGGGTGAATACCCACTTCGTGAATGTGCGCCTGATGAAGTGGGTATTCACCCACGAAAGCTTATGCTCCAATACGTCTGTTAGTCTAGAAGGTGCCACAGGACTCTGTCACTTTTTACAGATCCAGACTAACACGGCTACCCCTCAGATTTGTCACTTATCAGAGTAGATCAGTTATTACACACTTACAGTAAAGATGGTTTGAAGGGAGCTAACTACACATTGTACATGGGCCAGAGCAATATATGCCATGCAAATTTTTGTCAGATATATGCTAAACAACCATTTGGAGTATTCTGCATACTTTTTTTGTAATATGTAACTGTTTTTGTTTTGGTAGAGCAGTTCTTAAAATATACTTTGACTAAATTTATAATGAACCCTCAGCCCCTCCTCCCCTCTTCAGGGAATTCTTTCTTTTCTATAAAGAGTGGGAACTCTAAGAAAGAAATTCCAAGTTTGTTGGGGGGAGAAAGTTAATGGGTTTCCAATAAGTGGCATTCTTAAGAGGCAGTGTGCTCAAAAAAATAGGACACTGCTCTGGAAGTCAGTAGACCTGGATTCTATTCTTGGTTCTGCCACTGAACTGCTGCATGACCTTGGGCAAGTCACTTCACCTCTCTGTGGTACCCCTGCCACCCTTTGTTCGTCTTTTCTATTTAAACTGTAAGCTCTTTATGGCACAAGTTACTCTCTGTGCAGCATGTGCGTGCATAAGTGTGTACAGTGTCTAGCACAATGCAACCTTGATCGCATTTGGGGCCTTTAGACAATACCATATAGAAATTACTGATAATCAATTCACAGAGCGGCAATCACTTGCTCATCTCGTTATCAAGCTTTCATTTCTTTTAAAAGCTTTCAGTCGATCTGTTTTTACTCTATGGAGACATATTACAAACAAGGATGGATTGATGCATCAACTAAAGCACTTAAGGGTGACTCAAATTTGAAATGCCAACAAATTGGGAATCTAAAGTTGCTGTGCTCCTGGGAACCCAAAGGTAGTAGTATAATATTTGTTTGTGCTAGTCACTTAGAGTAAATATCTGCAGCAAAGATGATCCAATAGCAGAGCTCCCTTTACTGGTTATACTTCTGGGGGAATTCTGCGCCACTGCTCGTGTGCATAATTAATGAGCTGTGCATATTTTTAATATTTTACGCAGAAAAAAGCTTCTGCTGGAATGTTGCTGCAGTTCTGCCTTTTGCCCACCAGAGGGCACTGTGGCACTAGAACACAGCAGCTGCTCCCAGCCAGCTAGGGAAGAGAAAGAGCCTGCCTTCTTCACAGCGTCTGTCGGGCCAGGGGCTATGGGGTGATAGACAGCGTGGAGCTGCTGGGGCATCAGATAGGGGCTCATAAGGGCTAGTGTGGGAGGACAGACTCTGGCAGGGGCTGAATGGGAGTGGAGTTGCAGGGCCACATGGGCAAAGGGGGAAGGAGGTGCCGAGCCACAGGGGGAAGGGGGATGGCTGAGTGGGGGTGGATGGACACGTGGCCAGGGATTGTAAGGACACAAGAGGGTGCAGGGGCAGATGTGCCTGACTGAATGGGAGAGGCTAGGGGTCAGACAGGGTCTGCATGGGGGAAGCTCCCTAACAGTTCCTCCCCGTCCCGTCCCCCCCAAAAAACCTGTTCCATATTTTTCCCACCCATACCCAATAACCTTTCAAGCTCAGACCCAGGCTCCTTCCCAGCAATTACTTCCCTGTCCTTTAGCTCCTCCATTATCCCTGACTCCCCCAAGCCTTTCCACTCCTTCTGAGAGGTGCGGGAAATATGGTTCCATATTGTAGTTTAAATGAATTATTACTCAGGGTTCTGTATTAATATGCCTAATAAGGAATCTATTTGTCAAAAAACATTTTCTGAATCTTTTTTGTTGTCTGTATTGTTACAGCCATACTTGCTGACAGGTATTTTGAAATAAATGACCAAAAATAATTGAAACTGGTGTGATTATATTGATCAAATATATATAAAAATAAAATATACCGAATTTTGCAGAATTTGAGAATATTGTGCACAGAATTTTTAATTTTTTGATGCACAATTCCCCCAGAAGTATGGCTAGTACTGTCTTTGATAAGTTTCACTTTCAGAGTCTCCCATTCATTTTCGCTAGAAGACTTGTACAAACTTGCTTGCAAGTCCTTACTACTTTTCAGCAGATGGCACTATAACTTAATTTCCTTGCATGCTTTCCATATCTGGGCTTTGAATTCAACTTAACTGATTGTTTTTAAAGAGTCTCTGTTTTCAACCATGAGAGAGACTAAAGAAGCCAGAATATTTTTTTCTTCTCTTGTCTACATTGTCAAATCCACTTAATATGTAATGATACTACATTTTCAGCTATTTTCAAATCATTTTGTAAACATTAATTAGGAGCTTGAATTTTGCCTATTTTTTGGCACGCAGTAGAATTTGTTAAATGATTTAAATAGTTAACATCTGGGTGATGCTGTTCAGCTATTCCAAATTCAGACTTTGCTTTTGTGAAGACTTGTGTAAATTAACATTCTCAAATGATTTTTAGATATTTTAAACATTGTTGTATTTATGCTTTCTGTTGCACTCAGAAGACAAAGATATATATATCAGTAATTACTGTCAACAGTTAGAGCAAAATGCACTCAACACTTTGCTAAATGCGGGCATTAAATAATTTTCACAGAAATTCATAATAGGTTACCCTTATTTTGCCAAAGTGCTCAAGAAACCTTGTGCCTTAAACTGTTTTATGTATATTGTTAAGCAATATTTATTGCTTAGCATAAAAATTACTGTAACTTATATAGTATAAAGGAAATGGTTTGGTTTACTCCAGTTTATCCCGTAAACTGGACATTGAGTATGTTCTCTTAAATTTTGCATGGAAAGAGGAAGAGGCTAGAAAGGAAAGAGGCAGTCCAATACATTTCTACTAAAAATCCAAGGAAACCCACACTTTCTAGTAATATTTTACAATCATGTATAGACTACCTAATTCTGAGAAATGGGGCCTTGTTTCTTTTCTGTCTAAGAGGAGGATCTGCAGGGAGCCCCATTATGACTTACATATTCAGGACTACTCAGCCCCTTTGGTGCAAGCTGTGGCTGAATGAAGCTCTGCTCTGGCACACTCCCTCCACTCCCTGTGCTCTGTTCCCAATATACCTCTCCTTTCATTTACACTGTAGAGGGGGCGGGGAAAGAGGAAAGGGGTTAGTAGTACCAGTGGAGAGCTCTCATGTGCAGGAAGAATTCTCCACCAGTTATCTTCAACTGGTTTAAGGCCACTTTGCACTGTATGAGTATCACAAAGTGGACTTAATGGACCAGAGAATCCAGCGCAGAGTGTGGTTTAAAAAAATAATTCTTAGGCATGTTTGGCTTGTTATAAAAATTATGAAACCTTTGTTACAAATTAATATAATTTCCAGAAGAGTGGAAAATCTTTGGCAAAGAAGAAAGAATAGAAGTCCCATTTTTCTCCGGTACCTTTAGCAAGATGAAACTTAGACAGAATTGACAAGATTAACTTGCCTCTTTCCCCTGCTGATTTTCTTAGAAATTTTTCAGACTGAAATTTTTCATATGTACATATTTTTTTCAGTTTCAATGTGAGATTTTTATTTTCCGTTTTGTTACTGCTAGAGTTTGTTGTATATAAATAGCCTGGGCTTTGATCAATGTTTTCAAATGATCCACTGTCATTCTTAATTTAACCTGGAGCTGTATACTCCCTTGGGCAATTAGGGTGATTAGATTTTTTTTGCGCACACTTATAGCTGTATTTTTCCTCATCAGAGTACTACTGTGTCAAAATATAAAAATCTGTTGCTTGGGATGTTGGGCTGATTATCATGCAATAGCTTCTAGTTCAGCAGCAACTTAAGATCTATTTTCAATAATTTAAGAATCACTATTGTATATCTAAGTGGACCCATGCTCTACATAAAAGCTATGGTGAGAAAATGGGCTAAGCTCTACAATTATAGAATGTTTATTCTTTCTGTAACGGTGTGATTATTTTACGTTTTTCTTCACACTTAGAACTAAAGTTCCTGGAAATCCATATTTTTCCCTGGTTGTTTTAGGTGTGTCCTAGTCTCATAAAGTTCATTCTTTGTTGAAAAATCTAGGCAATAAAAATCCAAAATAAATGTTTAAATCTCCATGTTGCTTCCCCAAAATTTAATTTTTAAATACAGTGTTCTTTGTTTTACAGTGAAAACTCACATGCAACAAGGCTTAATCTCTGTTGCTGCTCGTACTGTGATAACACATCTGGTGAACCACTTAGGCCACTATCCGATGAGTGGAGGCCCTGCTATGCTAACCAGTCAAGTTTGTGAGAACAATGACAATCCTTACAGTGAAAGTCCTGAGCTTTCTCCTGAACTTTTTGAGAGCCCAAACCTCCAGTTCTTTGTGTTAAACAACACTACTTTAGTCTCTTGTATACAAATCCAAGCAGAAGAGAATATGCCTGGAGGAGGATTGTCTGCTGGACTTGCATCTGCTAATTCAAATGTCAGAATTATAGTGCGTGATCTGTCTGGTAAATACTCATGGGATTCTGCCATTTTGTATGGGCCATCATCTTTATGTGGATTATCAGAACATACTTTTTTGGCGCTTTCTGTATTTCAGCAAGAGAAACCTGAAGATGCCCCATCCTCTGAGCATGTAGAGGATGTATCTGTAAGGGATGGAATTGCACTTCAGGTAAAAAGGAAATTTAGAGAAACTGTGCCAACGTGGGATACAATTAGGGAAGAAGAAGATGCTCTTGATGAACTGTTACATTATTTAGGTGTCACTAGTCCTGAATGCTTACAGAGAGCAGGCGTCTCACTGAACATACCTGCTCCTCAACCTATCTGCATCTCTGAGAAACAGGAAAATGATGTCATCAATGCTATCCTTAAACAACACACAGAAGAGAGAGAATTTGTTGAAAAACACTTCAGTGACTTAAATATGAAGGCTGTGGAACAGGATGAGCCAACTCCACAAAAGCCCCAGTCGGCATTTTACTATTGCAGATTACTTCTCAGTATATTGGGAATGAATTCATGGGATAAAAGGTAAAAAAAAAAAAAAAAAAAAATCAAAAAACAATAACAAAACCCTGTTTTTTTAACACAAATTACTATTGGTTTAAAAGTACAGTGTTTGGTAACAATTATGTAACTCTCCATCATTTTATTAATCCTCCTAATTTTAGGCAGTAGAACTGGTTAGGCTAAGAATGCCTTTGGCCAACTGACAGCAGAATTTTTGAGATGGGGGAGTGGGCATCTACTAAGGAGGAAGAAGGTTGTTTTATTACTTTCATCCCACTGTGTGGAGAGACTGGGGAGAGGAGGGAACAGCTTGCTGATCTTGTTTCTCCCCAAGATCCATGCAGACAAGGAGATTGAAGACAGATGACCTCCTTTCCAGCTCAGTGCAGGGATACTATTGGTGGGAGAATACCCTCTCTCCCTACTCTGCTCTCCTCAGCAGCTCCATTAAGAAACCTTAGATTGGTGGAGAAAGACACCCTTGCTCCCACCTATCTGCTCTCCTTCCATGCTTCTGTAGGGATATGGGGAAGACAAGGCACCTTGCCCTACTAGACCTAGGGTTACCATACGTCCGGGTTTCCCCGGACATGTCCGGCTTTTGGGTCTTTAAATAGCCGTCCGGGGGTAATTTGTAAAAAGCTAAAAATGTCCGGGATTTCCCCTGGACGGCTATTTAAAGATCCAAAAGCGGCTGACAGGGCAGCCGCGCCGGCGGAAAGCGGTACTGGGAGCAGCATGGAGCGGCCGCAAGAGGTGGGTGCAGGCGGCCCAGCTCCCCCTGCCTGGGGCTCCCCTCGCCCGCCGGGGGGCATGGGCTCCTCCTCTGCAGCACTGCCCGCCGCGGGGCTGGGGCTCTCCCGGGGCTTTGCCCTGCACATGCCCAGCACCCCTGGGGCTGCTCCTGCCTCCCTGGGCTGGCCCCAGATCCCCTCCCCCGGGGGGCTGGGGTCCTGCTGCGGCTTACGCCCCTCTGACTCGTCCGCGAGGCAGGCAGCCCCAGGGGGTTGAGGCCGTGCCACCCCTTCCCCAGCTTCCCTCCAGCAGCCCCCGCACCGCCCTGCCGGGTCTGTTCAGCCCTCGGCCCCACCGGGTCCTGCCCTGCTTCAAGCAACCCCCCCACACACACACACCGTGCGGTGGCCAGGCCTGGGGGGGACTGGGGGAGCCGCAGCAAAGCCTCGCCCGGAGCTGGTGCAGGAGACGAGCCTGGCTCTCAGCCCAGGCTCCGGCATCAGCCTGCAGCCGGGAGCGGAGCCACCCCCCGCAGGCTGGGCTCAGCCCAGCCCTGCTCTTAAAGGGACAGGGACCCCACCGCGGCTTGGCCCGGCCTGGGGCACGTGGGGGGTGTCACCTCACCCCCCCCTCTGGGGGGCCCGGTGAGGGGGTGCTCGGCACCATAGCAGTGCAGAGGGGAGGCCAGCGATGCACCTTACTCTCTCCTGCACTGCCAGCCACGGTCTTGCCTCCTTTCCCTGGCTCTGTGAGGCACTGTACACCTCAGAGCAGCAAATGGTAGATTCTGCTGTCTCCAAGCAGAGTCTAGCCCTGAGTGTTTATTTCCGCAGCAGTGAGTTTTCGGTTTGGTGCATTCACTCCTGATCTCCCTGGTAAAGTGTAACAAAAGCCCTTGGCATTCATTTTCTCAGTGTTTCTGGGAATACCCTTTTCAGTTTCATAGATTGATCTGGGATCTTTCTTTTGCTGTTTCCGGAGAGAACTGTTGACAGCAGGGAGATATGTCCCTGACTAGAGGACAGGAAGCAAATTTGACTAGACCAGTTGTGACTTCCTTTTTATTTGTTACTATAAAATGTATTACACACAAATAGATTGCTAATGAACTTCCACCTTTGGGTTTCTGGAAAACAACTCACTCTAATACTTGGAAGTTGCAGGGACCTTTGGTCTTAAAAAATGAAACATCAGACTCATGAATTTGGGGGAAGTGCAGTGGTCCATTTATGAAATTTCTAAAAACATGATTCAAAAAATCCTTCTGAGACTGTATTTTAATGCTGAGATCCCAATAGCCTTACTATAGAAATAGAAAGTAAAACAAAGACATTCTTGATCCAGGTCAATTAGAGCAGTGGTTGTCAATGTTTCCAGACTACTGTACCTCCTTCAGGAGGCTGATTTGTCTTAAGTACACCTCACTTAAAAACTATTTGCTTACAAAATCAGACATAAAAATACAAGTATCACAGCACAGTATTACTGAAAATTGCTTATTTTCTCATTTTTACCATATAAATTATCAAATAAATCACGACTTCCAGATTGAGAAACATTGGTATAGTATATAGAGCAGTATAAACAAGTCACTGTCTATGATGATGGTTGCATATGCTTCAATAATTAGTTTGGCAAGGCCTTCTATATCAAAGTTACACACATTTTTACACAATATCAGGCAAACCAGCTTGGATCTCTCACTATTCATGTCTCTGTACTAATTGTGCTCTGCATCATTTCACAAAAAAGTTATTTAACTGAGCTTGAAATTTGTCATTATACTGAGATTTCTAAAAATACCCTTCTAGAAAAACTTCCATTTGGCTTCCCAGTAAAGAAAAGGACTTTATATATATATATATATAGCATGTTTGTTTGAACTTCGAGGCCCATACAGTCCCTGAAATGACACTGCCTTGGTTAGTGTTGTGCCCCATTTCTCACAGTACTCATGATGGGTTGGATTGTCACAGCCCAGCTCAGCCACACAAGGGAGTAAATATTATCTTTTCCAAGTAGACCCCGCTGATATGGGGATGCCCCTTTAAAGGAAGGCCCCGGGACAGGTATGGACAGGGGAGTCCCTCCAGTGAAGGGAGAGGTGAGTGTCAGAGGTAGGGTTACCATACGTCCGGATTTTCCCAGACATGTCCGGCTTTTTGGTCCTCAAATCCCCGTCCAGGAGGAATTTCCAAAAAGCCGAACATGTCCGGGAAAATAGGGAGGCATGGTAAGGGGACCGCCTCCTCCCCGGGCTCCAACTTTCCCGGCTCCTGCCGCTCTCCACCGCGGCGGGGACCGAAGCAACTTCCCCAGCGCAGCAGCCGGGGGGCGGGAGGGAGGAGGGGGAATGTGGGGTGCTCGGGAGGGGGCGGAGTTGGGGTGGGGAAGGAGAGGAGTTGGGGCGGGGCCGAGGACGGGGAAGGGCGGAGTTGGGGCGGGGTCCTGTGGAGTGTCCTCTTTTTGTACTATTGAAATATGGTAACCCTACCAGACCCAAACTCTAGAATAGCAGCAAGTTTGTTGTTGCTGTGTTACTGGTAAACACCCTTTTGTCCTACCTGAGGAAAGAGGATGCATGTGTCCTCTCCCTAGAAAAGTGCACAAATGTAAATCTGAAAAGGAGAGAGGGTTTTTTTCCTCACATTTTTTCAGTTTGCATAATCTTGAATGTTGCAAATAACAATAGGCGGTAAAAAAAAATTCAGTGAGAAAGAGAGGTACTTTTTGTGTTGACAGTACCGTTTTTTTGTTTTTGTTTTTTTAAAATATAGAATTCGTATCCCAGAATGTAAGGGCCTTTCTAAAATCATCACTCTCTCTGTTGAGTGAAATGCTGAATCAAAATACTTACCTACTGTGAAGGGAAAATGGATATTCTATAGACCTAGAATAAGTCTGGATCAGTAAAATAATATTGCAGTCATATGAGTGAAACATTTTGATCACAAAGAACTTTGGTAGCAAATGGGTTGCAACCATTCTTAATATTTAATGGGCCTTTAGTTTGCCAAAGCAGCCTGTTTTCCAATGGGTACTGCTCCTAATCTCACTTCAGTATATTTTATGAGTATCTTAAGTAGGTTTAAACATTGGATAGTGGTTATTTTGCTGTAACATAACTGTTTCTTAAAAAAACAAAAAGCATTACAGATGACGAGGTGGGCTGATATACTCTGTCTTGCTCTGCAATTCAGGAATGTAGAGTTCAGTTTTTAATGCACTCTCTGGGCTGGTAGATTATGGGGAAACCTGCTTTATAGTGATAGACTCAATCTGTTTTACAAAGAGAAAGTTAAGGGTTGACTTGGATATAGTCTATAAGTATCTACATAGGGAACAAATATTTTGTTATGGGTTCTTCAATCCAGCAGAGAGAAATATAACACGAGCCAATGCTGGTAGTTGAAGCTACACAAACTGGACTGGAATTTGGTGTAAATTTTAAACTAGTTAACCATTGGAACAATTTTCCAAGGGTCATGAAGGGTCTCTATCACTAACAATTTTTAAATCAAGTTTGGATGGTTTTGTACAAGATACGCTCTAGGAATTATTTTGGGTAAGTTCTATGGCCTGTATTATACAGGAGGTCAGGCTAGATGATCACAAATGGCCCCTTCTGGCCTTGGGATCTATGAATCTGTCATGTATCACTAAGCAGCTATCCTCAGGCCTACTACGTAGTAAATGATATGGGCTCCAAAGGGAGTCCTGTCCAGTCTTCTGCAGACAGCTGAAGTCACTAGGTTGGGAGAGGAAAGTGGGCATACGTAGAGTTATGCTGAGGACTTTAAGAAGGATGCAGAACACCTTCTGACATAAAATTGACAATGTGTATAACTTATTTTTAAAGGAAACTTGAGAAGGCAAGAAAATTGTGGGTGATTGCATGACTGGAACTGAAATATGTTCTTGTATTTTCCTATGCCCATTACTGGACAGGTAACAAAAATGTTGTTAATTTTTCTCTGTTTAGAAGGAGCTTTCATCTCCTGAAAAAAAATGAAAAGTTACTTCGAGAACTTAGAAATTTGGACTCAAGACAATGGTAAGTTATCTTTTAAAAATTGCCTAATAACCTAACTAATTTATTTAATCATTTTTATTTTTCAAAGTGAGTTTGTAGAACTATTGTTTATATGGAATTGGAGACTAATTTATGTTCCAATAAGTGATTCATGTTCACTAAATTTTGGAAGCAGTACATGCTAAAAATTAAGTGAAACTAAAATGAAATGAATATTTAATTAATAGATTATCCTGAAAGAGAATAAACCCCCACCTCCAAAACAAGTAATTCATCTGTCAAATACGATTTTTTCTGTGTTCCATGAAAATTATGCAAAACGTGCTATAATGCCCAAATGCTGTATTTGCATATCTAATAAAAGGGATACATTCTAAAATTCAGTTCCAATAGCTTTGAAACTAATTTTATAGCTGTGGATCAAAGCCATCAATATTTGAGGAGGAATGAAAGTGATTAGAGTTGAGGTTCTCATGGAAAGCTAAAGCTATTTCAGGATGAACTAGTGACCAGCAAAGGTTTCAGTCACTGTCCACTGCAAACCACTTTTTCAAGCTTGTAGTTTCTCTTTTAAGATGTTTTATTAAATCTTTTATGAATGGACACCAAAGTAGCATCTGAGGGCATTTAAGTACATTGTATGTAGGCTCTCAATAGTGGATGTTCGAGAAATATCATCTAGTACATAAGTGGCATTGTTGTTGAGATCTCAGTGTTTATTCCCATCGTGGGTTAGCTTCAAGAAAAGTGAAAGTTTTGGAGATGCATTTAGTTTTTAAAAGATCTTAAATTTTGCTTAGTGCTCTTTCTCTTTATTGGGAGGGTATTTTTGAATATGAAAGACAGTATTAAATGCATTAAAGAATGGGCCAAGGAATTTACAATTTGTTGGCTACTCTGCATTTTGTCAGTTGTCCTCCAAGGACCACATGACTGTGTCAACAGCTATAGAATTAGTAAATTCAGAATTAGTAGGACAGTTGTGGGAAACTGTTAAGTTGCTCGACTCTATATCTACCAATCAGCAATCCAGGGACACAAGAAGTTACCTTGCTACTTGAGGATATTAAATTCATCTTCCTGAGACACATTTATCATTCACAAGGATTACCACTATTAATGATAATGATGGGTCTTCTTCATAATGTAAAATAATGCCCAAACCATAGGTTTTGCTTATTTCATGTCTTCAGCTGTAAATATCTTACTCAACTTTCTGAATACATTATTATACCATTTGTTGCTGCTAATTTCAGCCAATGTCCCACTATGCTGAATTGATCCTTCACACATGAAAGTTCCTATTGGCAAACTGTAAAAGAGAAGGCAAAGGAATAGAAAAGAGGATAAGAACATGAAAAGATAGAAGATGGTCAAAGAACAGAAAGAAAGAGACTTTTTTAATTGTACTGCACTTTCATTGCCTTTTTGATACTGAAAGCTATGATCTGTGTGTAGTGTTTGCATTTTCTGTCTCTGTGTTAAGACTTGACAGTGAACTTACTCAGTGACAATCCAATGACAATCCTATGTTTTGCAGCCGAGAGACACACAAGATTGCAGTATTTTATGTTGCTGAGGGACAAGAAGATAAACACTCCATCCTCACTAACACTGGAGGAAGCCAAGCCTATGAGGATTTTGTAGCAGGCCTTGGTTGGGAGGTATCTGTTTTAAGTTTTATTTATATCTTCTGAGTTTTGTGTTAGATTGTAGAAAACAAATATAAAATGGGAGGCTGATTGTTTTTTCTCTCTACTCTTCCATCTCTATTATTCCTTATTACTGCTCACAATTACCGAAACATCTTATTCTGAAAATAGGACACTAAGATTGAAATTGTGGTTATACTTATGTCAGTGATGCTGTATAAATGAACTGTTGAGACAGCAAAGCTTTACTGGCTTTGAAAGGTGAACCTGTGGAAGCTTCTACATAATCGGAGGCTGTTCAACAGTGTGCAATAAGCCACCCTGTTCCTGACTTGTATACACTAAATAAACTATGTCTGTATTGTTGTGTAGGCCTGAAAGCTGTTAAATCCATTTAAGGTTCTGCACATTGCTCAGATTTGGGAGTTGGAGAAATAATGGCATGCTGCTTCTCTCATCCTCTTCTCCCTGCCTCTAGAGAGCGAGATAGACACACATATAGCCCTATCTCTTTCACCAAGAAATGGATTGTGTGGCATAATCATACAAGTACCACTGCCACCATTAGAGCATTAGTTAAATATAGTTCTATTCTACTGACTCTCCCCTGGTCCAAATTCTCTTTGCTACACTAATCACCATCCCTTTCTGGCTGCTCAAGACAGACCCCCACTACCATCAATAAGAGGATGCTTTAGGTACAGACCTGTCCAACGGAAGTGCAGGAATCATCACTGCTTCTGGCTCTCTTGGAAGTGCCACCTGAAATTAATATTTAATCGTTTGCTTAATGATCAATAAACGGTAGTAGCTTAAATGACTAAAGCTTGCTTTTTCAATTTGTACGTTAATTCCAAGGCAATATATCAGCTCCTGACTTGAGCTGTGAAAAAGCTTTGAGCAAAGCTGGCAAATTTTGGCTTGCCTAGTGACTTTCCACACATATTCTAAGTGTAGGGAATTTTTCTTCTTGTCAGAAAGCATCAGTTTTCACTTTGTGAGAATGGAAAATTGTGAAATTCAAAGACATAACTGAAAATTTGCAAATATGATGGTAAGTCTTAAATGTGATGGAAACAGACTTTTTTACAATTAAAGAAGTTTTGTAAACCTGATAAAGTATTATTATGTATTATTTCAGTTCTGCAGCAACATTTTTACAAAGTTAAATCAAACCGATTCAAACGTATTTAATCTCACACTAGCCAATCATGTATTTGCTATTATACCAACAAAAAAATCCAGAATTTCATGCCAAGAGGCTAAAACATTTAATATGCTGTTAAGGAAAGTAATCCCAATTTTAAAAGGCATTTAATTTAGATTTATAATGCGGATTACTTCTGACTTTCCTCCTCAGTGTTCAGGAATGGGAAAAAATATGGGACAGCAATATCTGTGTTTGTGATGGGGCCAGCAGAACTATAGCCCTTCCTCCCTGTTGGAAAGCCAGAACAATCATCATGGTTCTTTATGTGGTAGTTCCCCATGTCTTCTGAGGAGAAGAAAAGCAACTGCTAGTACTGGCTCTCAGGAGAGTGTCAAGATGCCACTGTTTCCACTCTTGCTTTTTTCCCTTTAACCTTTACCTCCCACCAGTCTCTGAGATTGTTATACCCTTTTGTGCCAATAAATATAGATGTTCCTTCACTGCAGTTAGTTTCTTTTCTAATTAAATCCTTCTAATTAGTGAGCCTCTGCTCCTTTAGATAAACTTAATAGTACAAAAGGATCAGCATCAGAACAGAATTACGGGTTTTTTAAATGTATATGATGATTGAAAAGGCTTTCTCTGAAAAGTATTTTACCACCAGATATTACTTTTTTCCCCCTAATGTTACATGGGCTTTGATCTTAGGTGAATCTCACAAACCATTGTGGTTTTATGGGAGGATTGCAAAAAAACAAAAGCACTGGATTGACCACTCCATATTTTGCTACCTCTACAGTGGAAGTAATGTTTCATGTGTCAACAAGAATGCCTTCTGATTCAGATGACTCTTTAACAAAAAAGGTAGGTGGTTTTGAATACAGCATTTCCCTTAGGTAACAGTATATCAAGGGATTTTAGGAAATCATTCCTTAAAAATAATTAGTAGTTTTTTCTAAAAATAATACGCTTGTTCCTCTAACAGTTTATATATTATTAAAGCTAGTTGGGGCGGGTGGACTATAGTGTTATTAAATTACTTTCTACCAACCAATTATTTTGCCACAGAAGATGAGTTCTGTCACATTTGTACATCTTATTGCTGCTGAGGTCACAGGAATGGTGAGGTAAGGAGAGGAAAAGGAATAGAGTTAATAGTCTGTGTGGAAGAAAAAGCTCCAAATCTGAATGACATGTTCTAGTCCTTTGAGACTTCTGGATGTGAACTGTTAACGTCTCGAAATAGCTGATGAATACATGGTTCAAAGATGAATGTTTCAGTTATTCTGCAAGTCTTGCAGCTAAGCGTGTTCATAGAACATTTGCCTTGAAAAGAAAATCAAAATGTTAGGAACTTGACAACATTTAGTGAATTTAGTTGTATTGCTTTGGTGATGACACAAATGTTCAGCAGAAGTCTGCTCTCTTATATCCACCTTAAGGGAAAAATGGCTTTCTGTATTGGTATTTTTTCTTTAGAATTTAATAAATTCCATATTAGTGATGATAAGGTGAGGCCTCGAACATGTGTCCTATTACAAATGAACAATTGGCTATCATTAGACTGTCCCCCTATCCTCTGTACATATATCTTCAGATGTGCTAATCCATTCAGTAGACACATTAATGAGCACTGGTTGAAGTGTAATATTGGAGGAAGTGAGGCTGGTTGACCTCAGCATGGAGTTTAATACTTGTAATTAAATCAGATAGTCGACAGTAAAGAAAGAAATAGCCATGCCTCTGGCACACTTCAATTATTAATGACTTTTTTTTGTTCTTTTTGTTCAACTTGAAGAAAATAATTTATATCTTTTTATTATCGTTGTTGTTGTTGTTGTTGTTTTGTTATAAACTGACTTTTAATTCTAAAAGTGGCATTATACATTTTTTTAAACTATTAAAATATTTTTCTTCCACGCCTAAGATGGGTACTTCCTACTCTACTCTTTTATTTCATAAAGTGCAGTCAGTGTATTATTTAGGTTTCTAAACAAATTAAAGTATCTTAAGAGTAAAATCAACATAACTTTTTAATGAGAGTATAACTAAAGTAATAATATGATTCCTTTCTCTGCCCTTTTGAAGAAACCACTGTACTTTGCCTACAGAAATATGTATCAATAACCTTTTTGGATTAGAGTGATTAAAAAGCAATGTGTGGAAAACATAATGAAAATTATTTCCACTATTCGTTAAATAACTAAAAAAACAAAAAAACAACATGTTACAGGTTTCAGCAGAAAGTGCAGCCTGAATCCTATATCTGTTTTCAAGAGAATTCAATCCTTTCCACATAGCTAATACCTTTAGCCACATTTCAGAGCTGGTCCAGTCCTTTGGTGATGTAATTTTTTTAAAAGTACAAATCAGTCACCATTTTCTCAGTTAGTTTGACATTCTTTCCTAAATCCCATTTCTTTCCGCTTTCACCCATAATCACATTCTTCAATGATTTAGACTATTCTGAGAGGCAGTATGGTCTTAATGAACAGGGTACTACACTGTGAGTCAGGAGACCTGGATTCCATTCCTAACTCAGCCACTGACCTGCTGTGTAACTTTGGTCTTGTCACTTTACCTCTCTGTCTCTATTTCCCCTCCCATCTTCTGTCTATCTATTTAGATTTTAAACTCTTCAGGGTAGAGAATGTCTCATGTGTTTTATACAGTGTCTCTGATTCCAGTTGGAACCTTTATAACCTATATGTACACTTCAGCAGTACACACAGTAGTAATCAAAATATTATTCTTTATTCTTAAGATGTGCTAGATACAGTGTGCAGCATATGACCTTTTACAACAGAAGATGATTTTTATTTCACATTTATATAACTTGTTGCTACTGAGGTCACAGAAATAGTGATATAAGGGGAGGAAATGAAGGGAGATAAAAAAGGGTATGTCTACACTGAAAAAAAACCAAAACCCTGCAGCAACATGTCTCAGAGCCCTGGTCAATCGACTCAGGCTTGCACTATAGGGCTAAAAATAGAAGTGTAGACCGTTCTGCACAGTCTGAGACCCATCCCTGTCGCTGGGTTTCAGAGCCCAAACTCCAGTCCGACCAGGGATGTCTACGCTGCTACTGAGCCCAAGTCAGTTAACCCAGGCTGTGGGGTTTTTTGTTTTGTTTTTACAGCGTAGACATACTCTAATTGTGTGGAAGAAGACCTGGGATCTTGAACTGTCACTGAGGATTTTGAATGTGTTTAGCCATGTTTTTAAGTGTTATTTATTGTACTTTGGTTGGCTGAAGAATTGTTGCTGGTTTCTATATTGTAATGTGCCTAGAGGTAGAAGATAGGTTCATCTTATAAATGGAAATTAAATTTAATTAAAATAAAACTTCTTCCTGCCAGCCCAACCACTGCAGCATCAAGATTCTAGTGCTTCAGATGCCAGGCCAATTTAAAACTTATTTTCTATCAATCTTTCTGAATAGTAAATAAAATTTTAAGTATCTTGGCTATCTCAGAAACACTGGAGTCGAGATAACAGGGAGCAGAAAAGAAGATGAATTGAAAAGGAAGAGAAGGGAGTGTTTTGGAGTTCTGAGATCGGATTAAAATTTATCCGTCATCTTTGAATTTTTCTAAGTGAAAGGATATGTCAAAATAGAAAATATTATTTTAAATACAGTTACAAAAGAAGCATAATGAAAGTGTCAAAATTAAGATAGAATTCTAAAATCTCACAAGTCACAATGGGAGTGATATCACAGATTCGCCCATGCAGCTTACCCCCTGTCTAGCTACTTCTAGCACTTTGAGGAAATTTGGAGTGGGAGGGTGTGAAAGTGTCTTAATTAATATATTATACATATGGTGTTAAAACAAAAAAGGTCATTTTCTAATTATTAGCCTGTTAATCCAGCTGAAACTTTTGGTGACTATATAAATGACTCAAGCTTAGTTTGACATTGTCAAAGCCCTTCAAAAGAATTATAGACCTATAATTCATAGCTAATTGTTTTGCTTTGATTTTAATACAAACTGGGTGATTAAAGGCATAAGGCCATAAAGCATGGCCATTAGTGCAATATTAGTATTTTTATAAAATTGCAATTAATTGCATCCATTATTATTTTACAGGAGTAAAAAAATTAGTGTTAAAACAACATTTTTATGAAGAATTTAACCAAATATTTGAAGGTGCCTTAGATAGACGCTGAATACATGTAACTTTGCCAAAAGTAGCTGCAATAAGAAGCTGCTTCCTAAATTTTCTGCTGTGTTGTATTCCTCCTGTACTTCTCTAGTGAACTTTATTTTTGAAGTAAACAAAATATAATTTGAAGACTAGCTTTCATTATAAAAGGAAATAGTTTTATTCCCCTTTCCTTCTTTAGATAAGTGGGTACTAGAAATTACAAATAATTTTGGCAAGAGTTCAAGGGTTAATGCAAGAGATAAATAAAAGGAATTTTCTGTAAATTGAGCCCTGCATTATTTCAGTTGTCTTTCCTTTCCAAACCTAACTCATTTAATTTTAAAAAGTAAATACTTAAATTTTTCCTGACAGTGTGCTTTGCTTTTTCTATCATTTATTACTTCAATTATACTTGGTATCACTTAGAACAATCTGCCATTTGGAAATCTCAGTGTAGCCTGCAGCTTAGTATTAAGTCTGGCTGGTATTGTAACATGTACAGCATATGACACTAATGTATCAAAATTAGATTTGATCATCCCTTCTGGTTATATTTATTTCACATTTCTTTTGTATTCAGTTAACATAAACATATTAGGAAAGCTGACACATGGTGATGGCTATATAGTAAGAATATTTTAAAGTATTTTGATTTAAAATTGCAGATAACTTGGCTTTTCCAAATTGTTGAGTGTTTTTACTTATTTTTAACAATGGAGAAGAGGTTCAAAGCATATACTGTAGCTGAAATGGATAAATTATCTTTCTATTGTTTAATCATTTGTATATGGTCGTGCCTTTAATCCCCAACTCAGATTGGGGTTCCATTATGCTAGCCACTGTTCATGCACATAAGAAGAGACCAGTCTCAGTCCTGAAGAGCTTATGATCTAAATGGGCAAGACAAAGCATGGGGGGGGGGAGCGTTATTACCCCAATTTTCAAGTGGGGAACTGAGGCACAAAGGGCCACATCCTCATCTGGTGTAAATTTTCATAACTCCATTGACTTCAATTATGCTATGACAATTTATAAACATAATCTTTGAGTGATTGTCCACACGGATTCCACTCTTGGTGCATTTGCATCCTAGGCTCAGAAGATTGGATTATTTTAAATAGCTGTGTCTGTTGGGGCCACACATGCACCCTGGGCACCCTCTCACTCCCTATAGCAGAGAGTATAAAGGCTGGGGAAGCCACAACTCTCACTAATTTTCTTCTTACCACCTATGGCAGCAAGACAAAACCTTGTAAAGTCCACATCCCTTGCTCTGAGCTGGTTCATTTCTGTAGTTAGTTAACTTAGATAAATTTTCTTTGCCTACTGGCTTAAAAAAAAACCCTCCAAAACTTTAGATTTATTCAGAGTAGTGATAGGTTTCCTTTCCCTTGTACAAGGGCCTACTCCCTACAAGAACTTAAAATGTTTGACTTCAAGTTGCAGGGGTTCAAGATTTGCCTCTTCTCTGAAGCAGCAATGTTGGTGAATGATGGACACTCCCAATGCCCATACTGCCTGAAAGAGAGTTGTGCTTTGGAGCACTGCCCAGTTTACAAGTCCTTCTCCAAGAGGATTCAAAAAGCATAAGAATGGGCATACTGGGTCAGACCCCAGTGGTCCATCTAGCCCAGTATACTGTCTTCCAACAGCGGCCAATGCCAGGTTTCAGAGGGAATGAACAAAACAGGGCAATTATCGATTGATCCATC